GGACGTGCTGGCCGACCACGCGGGAGAGCTCGTGCGCACCGACAGCCCTAACTTCCTCTGCTCCGTTCTGCCTTCGCACTGGCGCTGCAACAAGACCCTGCCGGTCGCCTTCAAGGTGAGTGCGGGGGGCCGGACCGGGAGGACATGGAGGAACCTGGGCGCCCCGATTGTAGGAACCCAGGTTGGAGAGGGCATGGGGAGCATTGGGCTGGGAGGACACGGAGGGAGATGACAGCTGGCAGGACACGGGGGTGCCCGGGCGCCCCTGCTGCAGGGCCCCAGGTCCGGAAGGGTTCCGCTGGACCCCAGATGCTCCCGCTATAAGAGTCCAGACCCCAGAGAACTTGGGGACACCAGGTTGGGAGGAAAGGGGAGCATCCAGACAGTAGGACGCAGGAGTGCCTGGTCACCCACGCTGCAGGAACCCAGGCCAGGAAGGACGTGGAGGGAACCTGGGTGTCCCTCTGCAAGAGCCCGGGTCCAGAAAAATATGGTTTACCTAAGTCAGGGACGATACAGGAGGGCGGCCAGGAGAACTGGGCGGGGGAGTCCTCCCGCCGCTCCTGCTGCAGTAGCCAGTTGCCGTTACCGGGTACCCCGCGTTGAGATCGGTGCACCGCGGCCTCACGGCCACAGAACGCGAGGATTTGGGGAGCTCCCTCACGGATGCACCGACAGCTTGGAGGGGCAATACCTTTCCACCTGGCCTTTGCAGGGCCCTGCGTAGTATGGCGACGTGGAAACGAGATGATTGGGGCTTCCAGATTCCTCCGGGCACAGCCTAACCCGTAACCGGGAAGAGGATCACCAGAGCTGGGCAAGGACCAGGGAGGAGTGGGGTGCAGAGGGCGAGGAGGGCCTGGCCTACCCCGAGGCGCCGCGCCTCCTGCGCTGCCGCAGAAACACTTCCTTCCCACACTCTCCACCTCGGGCGGCTGAAATATTGCACGGGGCGACCATAGGCCGATCCTGGAGCGCGGTTCCCTAAAGGGCTGCCTCCCTCAGAAGTCTGCATCCCGAATGACAGGCTTGGGACTCCATCCTAGTAGCCCTGAGTCGTTCAGAGAGGTTTTTTTTTTTTTTTTTTCCAACTATGCCAGGGATAGGCAAGTGTTTCATTTTCTTCTCTTCTCTTTCTTTCTCTTTCTTTCGTTGTATTTTTTTAAAGGGGGGCAGCCAGATGAAACGAAAACGCCTTGGTTTTCCCCTAAACCTTTCACAGCTGCCGCGAGAAAGGGCAGGGCAGGAAGGGCCAGCGGCTGGGGAGGTAGTGGTGCCCGAGGTGGCTGGAAAGCCGGCTGCTGGCAGCTGAGGCCCTCCTTGCTCCCATTAAGACTTCAAATTGGAGAGAGAGGGAGGGAGGAAGGAAGGGAGAGAGAGAGAGAGAGAGAGTGAGAGAGAGAGAGAGAGAGAGAGAGAGAGAGAGAGAGAGAGAGAGA